TTATAATTCAAAATAATTAAAAGTGTTAATATTTTCCAATTAAAGTAAAAAACAATTTTTATTCATTTATAAACGTTGTGATACTGCATATCATCTACAACAACAAGTGTCGTCGTTTAAATTTGGCAATTTTTCTTAGTTTCAAAAAGTTGACGATATTCATCCAAACATAAACTGTTCCTTTGGAATGGGTCTTTCCACGTTACACATTCGAATAACGTAACGCCAAAAGAAAAGATATCTGCATTTCTTCTCTATGTTTAACACATTAGGCGCCATGTATGTTGGTGTACCAACCTTTTAAGTAAATGCAATGTTAGTTATCAATACATTTACATATTCAAAGTCAGTCAATTTTGCTATTACCTCGTTACTAAAATCAATTGAAAACACGAGAATGTTGTCTGGCTCAGTGTCTATGTAATTTGTTTGTTAACTGAGTATTGTTCGTTTTTAGTTTGGTTTTATTTTTTTTTACTTTTTGATATTAATAAGACCAATTATATACTGCAAAAGGTGTATTAATAAAATCCTGTGGATAAAAATATATTTATTTGAAGTTGAAAAAATACTATTAAAAATGGTTTAAATTGTTATTATTTATGGTTATTTTATAAAAACAATCCGCAGAAGGCTGTTTCGTTGCAAAAGGTTGATTCGGCTGACTGTAAATTTTTATATTATTTTAATAATTAAAATTATGTTTTATTTTAATACACAGTCTCCACTTTTTACAAAAAATATAATTAGTTTGAAAAAGATGTCTGTGCATTTTTAAACCATCAAAACTTAAATATTTCGGGAAATGGTTCGTAATATTTCAAAACATTGTTTAATTGTTTTTTTTGTATTTTAACATTTTTCCTATTTTATGATTTTTTAAACTTGTTTTGTTTAAATTTTTGTCAAATAGACTACTTTTTATTTAGTATTTAATTGGGATTTGTTTAACTCGCCAACAACCCAATACTGCTCTTTTTAACAGTTTATCAAAAAATTGTCCCAAAACTGTTTAAATAATTTTGAAATATTATTAGGTTATTTTCCCGAAAAAATAAATAAAAACAAATAATATATAAATTTCATAATTGGATTATTTTTTATTTTTTATACCAAAAAATCGTTTTGTGCATTTATTTTTTTAATAAAAATTTGAAAGCAAAACATAACAAAAATTACAACCAAAATAATAAAGAGTTGGTGGAAAAAGTCGGCTTTAGCAAATTATAGTAAAATATAATATTTATTATTATAAATAAAAAACATTTTCTATCATTTCTAAAACATTAATTAAAAACAAAAAAATAATTAAAAATATTTGAAAAACCAGACAATGGTTGAATATTTTATATTCCCGTTAATAAAATTGATTTTTCGGATACATAAACGGTCAATTGCGACCACTTGATGTTTGTTTTTAAAAATGAAAATGATGATTTAGTAAGTATAAAAGAAAGCAAATATGATAGTTATCAAACTAATCATTTGATTAATTATTTAATAAATACAACACAATTCAATAATAAAAAATTCAAATGTAGCATTTAGAAACAATTAACTTCTAACAACAAGTTTGAACTTTAAAATATATTAAAGAAGTCCATAAAACGCAGTGAATGTTTAAAAAAATTACACATTCAATCCACTAATCAATTTTTGTGTCAAAGTGTCAACGTGTAAAATCAACTGAGATTGATTATGGTAGTAGCTTATATTTTTAAAATATTCAATTTCTGTATTTAATTTCAAAAAAGTGTCTCAATTTAAAAATTGAATTTGTGTCCTGCTTGAAAGTTTTATAATTTTAAATAATAATAAAAATAATAATTAATAAAAGTGGTTGTTTATAATAAAAAATAGTTAATCTTATCGAGACAGACTATTTTCTGCCAACTCTGAGGAAAGTATTCATAAAATCTAAAGAAAATGATAAAAAGCACACATAACTAACGTGAAAATTGATATTTTTTTGTTTGACAAAACAAATAAATAATAATAGTCTTAATAAAAAAATAAAATTGGTTATGTTCAGAGAATGACGCAAATTGATAACAGTGGTAATTATTTCCATTGAATAACATGCTTCTGTGTCATAGTGAAATGATAGAGTCGAAATAAACTCTTTTTATTAATTCGTCATTGCCCTCAATTAGAGGTAAAAAATGCAATTTTTACCTAAGATATTTAAATTTAATATATTTTTATTAGGTGTGGTTATATGAAAAAAATATTTTTTTGATGTTAAATTAAAACAAAAAAGTGTATGACCTCTTTAATATTTTGAAATTTATTTTATCTCCCTGTTATTTTTCCTTATCCATAAAATCGTCATTATTTTTACTATTTTTAGAAACAAAGAATATCATTTTTAACACTAAAAAATAAAAACAATAGTTTTACATTTTTATTATGATTAAAATATTGAGTAAATGTATTTCATTGTTTATATTAAAATACATTTTGGATATAATTGACGTATTTCAGTCTAATTTAATTAAGTAATTCGATTAATTGTTGATATCAAGTAAATATGTTGAACATTAAAATTTAGTTGAATTATAACTTGGTATTTTAATTAATTACAGATAATAAAATAAATAAATTTGAAAAAAAATATTAAGTTAAAGTCCCAAGTCTTCATGATATCATGATGTGTCAATGTGTAAACGATTATTGTTGGAGTAACTTACTTGAAAATACATCGATTATCAAAAAAATAACCTTAAAAAGTTGTATCGTTTTATTCATTTTGAAGATAAATGTGTTGAATTTAATTAGATAACTGGATAAACTTTGAAATAATCAAACAACTTTTGACTCAATAATATATAAAAAGCGAAATATAAAATGTGTATCAATTCAGGAATTATAAATCAATACAATATACTGACATTTTAATCAATTTAGTATTAAACCTCCATAATAATCAAAACGTTATAAAAGCAATACAATAATTAAAATGAAATAATTAAAACGAAATCAAAAGTGAAAAAAAATATGCAATACAACACCAATGTGCACAAATCAAAATACAGTAAAACTTTTCAAAAAACGGTACTTTTGAAAAGCGGATTCTCTCAAAAGATGGTATTTTTCAATGAAACTAAAAATAAAGTTCTTTATAAAGCGGCAATTAAGGTTCGATTGGCTTAAAATGCCCACTATATAAAAAAACAAAATTGCCACTAGCCCGCTCTTTAAAGTTTTTACTGTACACTTTAGTATTTGAATAATAAAAACGTTTTATCATTAAAAATTGGCCAGCTCCGAGTTGTGACTTAAATCTAATTGAGCATTTGTAGTAATATTTGAAATATAAATAATAAATAGATAATACAAATAACGAAAAAAAAATTATATTGTGTCATGTTGTTTGTAAAAAAATACATCAAAAATATTAACAAGTAAGTTGATATAGTGAATTTCAACCGTTCCTTATTGTGAACGGTTGAAATTGTGTACAAGAAAAAATTACAAAAATATTGCAAGACTAATGACCAAAATACTTTAAATTATTTATAATTATTATCATATTTTTCACAAAATCGTAACTGAAAAAAATGACGCTTTTATGAAACAAATTTAGTTGTAAAATA